TATTCTATATTCTATATTCTATATTATTATTATATTATATGCATAACTACAAATTGGTACCTGGGAGAAACTCACTAGTGCTATAAGAATATATAACCAAAGGGTGCTCATTTAACTAATATCTAAAGAATTAGTATGAGCTGGCAAGGATGTACTTTCTGGCAAGACTCTTTAGCTACGACACAAAATTTATAGAATGAACCAAAATAGCACTGAATGGACTTAAATGACTGGAAGAAAGCCAGGCAGGCTGACACATGGGACTGGATGTGTGGGAGCAGATAAGGTAGAAGACTGATACAAGGCCTCATGACTCAGGTTTGAAGGATTTGGTTTTGCCTTAGATCTTTGAAAGCAGCCGTACTGTGGAGGATTTTAATAATTATCTGCCCAGAGGTTAAAGTGTTATTCAAAACAAAGAAACAAAAAAAGTTATTCAAAATAATCAGATTGTTAAGTACAAACGTTTTTGTTGTTTTGTTATGTGTCATCGAGTCATTTTGTGACTCATAGCTATCCTATGTACAACATCTCTGAACCATGCGTACCCTATCCTCAGCCAGTCTCACTAATTCTGACATACCAACCCCCATTTCCCCAGTTATTGTATCATTCTATCTCTTCTGGGTTTTTTCTCTTCTTCCCTGTCCCTCCACCCATCCAAACATAATGTCCTTCTCCAAAGACCAGTCTCTCCTGGCCATGTGCTCAAAGTATGTGAGACAGAGCTTCAAAATCCTAGCCTGCAAGGAGAAACTTGGTTTCAAGTAAACTACAAGACAGACTTATTTGGTTTTTTTTGGTCAGGCCATGGTATGGTAAAGAGTATTCTCCAGCACCACAATGTGAAAGCATCAATTCTTCTTTTGTCATCCTTAGTCATTATTCAGCTCTCTGATGTATAGCAAGTAATTGAGACGATCTTGGCCTGGATTAGGCACACCTTAGTTTCTAGACTGACATTGTTCCTTTTCAGTACTCTGGAGAGGTCTCCAACAGCCGATTTTCCCAATTTCAATTCATTTTTTTTTTCTTTTTTCTTTTCCTGACTGATTGTGCCAAGAGCATTGATTGTGGCGACGCAGCGCGAGGGCAAGGCCACCAGCCGTGGGAACACCGTGAGAGGGACCCGGAAGAGACCCGGGAAGAACAACAGCCAGCCACCTACCGCAGAACTCCAGAGGAGCGAA